TAATTAAAATAAATACTTCTGATTGATCGCTTGATTCTCTCTCTAATACATTATCTATTATCAGTTATTTTCGAGAAGAGTAGCGGCTAACTGTTATTGCTCTGTTGGTTTTAATAATCTCGAAACTTTGAAAATAAAGTCAATAGGAATTACTCTTTTGGGATGGCTTTCTGTAAGAAAATGGATACGATGGATTTGATCATGAGATTTCGTTCTTGCGTTTGAACGAGCATATTTTGACTTTCACTTTTCGAAGTCATCGTGACAAAAAATGGTACCTTTTCAAGCCTACATCAAGAAAGAAGGAAGAAAAAAACTCATGAAGAACTTCCTTAACTAATCAGTCAGTTTACTGTTTTATTTTTAACGGACTATGTTTTTCTCATAAATGTTGATTTCAATCAATTTTGAAGATCTCTCAAATATTTATCATCATTATACTCAAGTAGAAGTAATTATCCGAATTTATTGTCGATCAGCCGATAAATAGCGTCAAAATCTGGTAAAAAAAAGTTGACGACGATGAGAATAAAAAAGAACTGCGACACCTGGCCCAGCCCACGATTTCCAATCGATATAACCTGTATTATATCAGATAAGCTGTGAAAAAAGTTCAACGAGACTCTAAATTTAATAAGTCAGTACAGTGAATCAAATGAAACACCAAGACTGCTGATTTCCAGTCGGTATCGTTATGAATACCTTCCCAAATACCAAAAAATTCGGATAGCCATAATCTATCATAAGAAAATCGTAAAAGAATAAAGAAGGGAAGAGCTTAAGCATACATATATCCCTGTTCATGTAAATGAGATGACAGATAAACTGGTAGAAAAATTTCAAACAGTTTAATAGTACTATTGATCGAGTTCGTATCGATTAGACACAATTGTGGACGACTTTCATCGAGAATGTCTCTAGTAGCCATAGCCGAAAAGTATGGTGAACAACAATGTATCCATCGAAAAAGTGATTGAGTCAAATCTCTTGACGAAAAGAACAACAACAACAATAGCAGCTATAATGAATTCATTTACAGCTGTTCAATGTCTGAGGTATATACTTGTGCAAAATAACCAATCCATAAATTTTATCACGATTCTTTAGAATTAGCTTAGTCCAGTGATAAAGTATTCGCCAGTCAATTGTCAGATCATCTCGATTGATCAAAGAAGTCCTTCTGAAAAGTATTATCGTACGATTTTCTTTCCAAATATATATACGCACTGCATCAGTTCGCTGAGCATATCAAAGCAAAAGTGTGCATTAAGATAACTCAATTCAGCTATGAAAATAATAGATAAATAGAATTTGATGAGTTTGATATGATCAATTTTCGTGAAAAAAGATCGATAGAGTGAAATGAATCGTTTCAATGTATTCGACCAAATCGTAAAACTAGGTCGAAATTCATCAATTTGTATGGAACGTGATAGATTTTCTCGAATTTCTTCGAATAATTCAAATGCTTGTTTCCTAATAGATTCATGATAGGATATGTATTTGTTGTAAATGATCGATTTGTGAAAATAGTCATTGTATGGATCTGAGCATCGTGCATCATTGTCTACATGAGTACTCATTCGAGTGTCAGCTGAGAAAATCGAATCAAGCTAATGATGCTGCTGCTGACAATTCGTTTATCTTTTTCAAGTAGAAAGCCAAACTGAAATATGAATTATTTAGAATATAAGAAAAATATTGACATGAATGGATTAATAACTTTTATCTGTGTCCTGTTTTTTCCATTGTCGTTCTTTTATTCGCAAGCAAAAACAACCTACAACATCTTAGAAAGAGAACATGAAAGAATTTGAAGCATTCAGTAGAAAGAGAGCAATGAAACTATAAGTACAAGTTGAACTAAAAGGCCGTCAGTCATCGAAAAAATCAACTCGAAAATCGTTGAACACTGAAATCATTCTGCCGGAAACAACTGATGAATAGAGTTAAATGGTACGGTATCAATCAGTTTTTCTTAATTCTATATGGTTAGAACGAGAAGTATTTCTTCCTTAATCCCATATTAATTCCGGATTCATTGCACTAGAGCATCTTGATTGGAAATCATTCATAGTAACACATTCATTTTTTATCTTATTTTGCTTGTCATGAATGAAAAATGTTTTAGTGGTATTGTTTCGATAAATTTCTTTGTCCTTCCTTCTCTACTTACAATTATTGTACAAATCAATATCAATCACAAACTTGTTCTTCTTTCTTTTTATTTCGACTTGAATAATCTCACACTCATTGTCTTAAAGTTTATGAATTTGACGAGGTTATCATTTCACAATAGTTTCCCACCATACCTTTAAACAAAAGATGACTTAGAGTACTGCCATAGCATGAGTCACTCATAAACACCAAGCAAAAGTTGTTTTCGTTTGCACAGAAAAAAAAAGTTCCACAGACAATCGACAAAGAATGCATTTTTTTGGACGCTCAACACGCTGATTTGAAGCCAATTTTCGATACATTACTGTGCAAAAGTGTACGAAAGAATAATTTTCAAAAGAAAAAAAAATGTTAATGTTCAATTGCTTTTCTTGTCTACCTATCAACTAATTTTATTGCACCTCAAGACTTATAAATCACCCTGTAAGAGTATGTTTGCTGCTTTCTTTTCTTTCTTCATCTGTCTATATTTGACTTTATGTCTACTTCTTCCTTCATACTAAATTTTGTTAGTCTCTCTTCTAATCATACTTTTTTCTACCTTCGCGTGCTCAACAGTACCTCGCTTTACGACAGTCTCTATTCTTAATCTGTATTATTCATGTAAAACATTGATGACTATCTTGTGATTCATTAAATTATGTGTTGTGTTTGACGACAAATGCAAAGGGATTGTTTAAATACAAAAATACAATAATCTGTTTGCCTATACGTAACAGGTTTTGTTATATGTTTCACGATTCATATATTTGTTCCATTTTCTTTGTGTTTTAGTCCAATGGGTTTACAAAAATCATGAACTTTTCGTTGTCCTCTTTAGAAAACAAGATCTATTCTTATGAATATATACAAGTAGCCATGTTATATAGAATTCAAAATTAGTAAAAAGAATTTTTCTAATTGTCTTTATTTATATGACAGAATTAGTTGGCATTCAAGTAACAATACACAGTCGTACAGATCATATTTATGATGTTGGTAAGTCTATTGAAAGATCAAGTACATTAAGTTTTTCAAGAGTTTTTAAAAACAATATTCTTCTTCGTAATTTGGTATTCATTACCGAACAATATGAAGAAGCAAGAGAAAGACAACAAATATAGATAATGTAAAACATCTATATATCTATATTTTATGTTCTTAATGATAGACTACACAAACCATATATTAGTAAACATCATATGTTAATAGAAAATGAAAACATATTACCTATAATACGATCTTTTGTCTTATTATACATGAAGAGTAAATATGATATTTTTTTAAGAATATTCGAAATTACGATATAAAGAGGAACACTAATAGAGATTTAAACAAAAGAGAGAAAAGACTATCTAATGAGGAAATGTTCTCAACTATCAAATTGCTTTTCTCTTCAGACTATAACCATTCGATCGATCATGATGAAGATTATTTAAAAAAATGCTTGTCTTACTTTGGTTTTTTGGTTGTTGTTTGTCGAGTTCTGGTCATTGGGTTGTTGAGAATCTGAATGGTCAAATTTCGAGCTGAACTTTTATCTATCGATTGATCTTACAGTCATCAGACATAGCCTGAAGTTTGAACAAGAACAAACGTTTTCTTGCTAACACATTTATATTGGAAAGAAACGCCTGATTTGATCTATGTTTCGGAAGAAGGACATTTCTGTGACAAGCTCATATCTCAATACGAATAGATTTATCCTAGCTTAAATTTTCGAGTATTTCTAGTAAACATAAGGACTATCTATGAACAAAATTTCAACTTGAAATTCGATCATGCAAGTTCTCACTGATTCTATGCTAGTAGAGTAAAAAAATCAAGTAAAGTGTCCATAACTCAACAAGCGAAGATCGAAACACTAAACCAAAACAAGAACTGATCGAATAGCAATAGTCCCAAGTGAAAAGAGATTGGATAGTTGAAAATGTTTCCTTGTAAGCAAGAAAGGGAAACAACAATATATGAACGATTATCGACACAATCATAAGTCAATCTATTGATATTTGAAATATTCAATCAATAAATACAAGAATAAAATCGATTTTTCAGAAAATATTTTTTCTAGAATCAATGAGATAACAATGCCACGATTAAATTTAATAACACTATGGCTATGTTCATCAATATATATTGTATATACGTTCTGACAAGAGATGTGCATGATCAGTTTTAATCCCAAGGCATCTAACAGAGATCAAGAAGAAGAGAAAAAAGTTAACAAAATTTAGATTTGAACAGTAAAGTTCAATATTCTGCTGTTTTGAACGAATCATCTTATACATCATGCCTATCAAAACAAATTCAGACGAGAAGATTAAAAGAAAAGACATTCAAGACTCCATAGAGTTCAATAGAAATCCTGTAATCCGAATACTTGTTTTTTGACTTCTCAAAATCAATAAGTTGAGAGACATGTATAACCTATTAATACATGCCTGATAATCAACTTTAATGATCTTATCAATTAAAATTTCTTTTTATCCTTACATTTAAAAACGTATTCTTGTATAAAAACTCACAAATTCGTATGAGATATATTGATTTTATTTTTAATTTGACTTATATTATTGTCTAATAACATAAAACATGAAAAAATATCTATTCTATTATATAAATAAAAACTCCACTGTTTCACAAATATTGGACGATTGAAATAACAAAACTATATGAAATAATTAATCAGCAAAAATAAATATGTCAGAAGTGCTGAAGACGGAGACAACAATTTAAAAAAAGGAAAAATTTCATCTATACGTATGTCACTATAATTCATTTTCTTATCACAAAAGATTTGTTTTTAGTAAAATTGGTCTATTAAAAAAAAACACATCGAAATATTAAACATCGGCTTTCATTATAAAATTATTCATTGGTGATGCTAAATAATTCGTATCATCATGAAATTTTAAATATGGTAAAGTAAACCATCCCCATTTTTCATTTGGCCATGTATATAAAACAAGATTTGCTTGTGAATATTGATATTTTATAATTAAATATGCACATACAACAATAGCTTCATTACTACTAAATATAATTAATACATGCCATATAGCATGTAAATAAGGAAATGATATTGAAATCCAAAATGAACAAAATATACGATCACATATCCATATTGTTACAGCAATAGCCCACATACCTATACAATGAATACCAAGATTTCTAATACGACGATTATCACATCTATAGAAAAAAAAACCAAAAATCATTGATAATACGAATAAAAATACAGATAAATATTTTAATTTATACTTTGACAGATGTATACCCATAAAAGCAATGGCAGGTAAACCAAGAATCATTAGAGCAAATGAATTTGCATATGGATACACAACACCAAGACAAGTAACGACAAAAGCCACAATAATACAACTAATAATAAATCTATGTCTGAATAAAGAAAAAAAAATAAACATAATTTCATATTTAGCATGATTTAAAGTCGTGCACATTATATTAAGCCATATCTAGCTTATATGTTTATGTTTTTTTGTATTTCTATAACTAATCTTACTGTAGTCGGCGATTGTTCAAACCCCACACATAGAACACACTATAATATATGTACTCAACTGATTAATATCGAAATGTTCTATAAATAGAAGAATAAACAAATAAAATAAAGTACCGTTGAACACGAAATGATTGAGGTAACTGCATAGATGGTAAAAATAATGCATAACCAGCCATAAGTACCCATAGAATACCTATTTCATCTAATAATTGTCCAGCCTAAGAAAACATTGGAAATGTTCTTATTTAATATTTTAATTCTTTCTTTTTTTTATTAAAAAAAAAAACCATACAAGACTAAGTGTAGCATGGAAATAAACAGAACCAATACCAATAACAATTAATAAAATCCAAAGTAATGTTATTCCATTTGCAACTCGTTTTGAATAAGGTGCAAATAAAATAATCATTAATGGTGGAACCAAAAAGAAGAATATATTGGATACCTGAAAAATGAAATATGTATTTATATATATATTAATAAATTAAGAACTAAAATTTCTACTATTATACATATATTTGTAATCTAATCAATTTCTTATCCAGAAAAAAACGAGCTATTCAATTGTAAATAATAAGCAAAAAAAAAACGTATAATCATGCATTCACATATTTATAAATAGCAATTCCAAGATAAAAAAAAACAAGAGTAAAAAAGTTACCTTTAACCAATATATTTAAAAGTGTTAGCCTGCAATACAAATATAGCAAATAATCGAATCAGTTGGATTATTATTTTAGTCTTATTCATTCATTGTTATGTAAAAAAAAACAAGAAATATCATGATTTTTATATAGCCAAGAACAGAAACAAAATAATATACGTACTGAATTCCAAAATTCAGCAATATATTCATTGACAACATAATTTGGTTCACACCAATCAACAGCACTGGAACCAGGTTGAAAAGGACTAACATTTATACTATTTGAATCAAAAGCAGTTGGTTTTGATCGAATATACATTTTAATCTAGAAAGATATGATCGAATTTCATTATTTTTGTTTAATCAAAAAGAAAAAATATATATATCTATGCATATATGAAGAAAAATCTGACTTATTTACATCGAATAAGAAGGCAATGTATATATATCTGACTGAAATAGCGTATTCACTGGGAAAGAACAAGAGTTGAAAGTGTATCAATTGTTTGTTGTTTATCTGATGAATAACGCCGATTATTATGATTATTACTATTTGATAAATATCCATCTGATTTTGATAACAAATATGTAGTTTGTTGTTCATCAATAATTGATGTACGATTATCAATAGTTGATATTGATTTAAATAATGTTAATTGTGAATCCCCAAATATCCATTCTGACGAACGACATAAACGTTTTGATGTTTTTTCATCTGTATTATCACGACGATTTTCATCATTTTCTGATACAGTTCGTTTTCGACTACTTAATAAATTTTTATCATTATATATTGTTTGATTTGATAAAGAAGATTTTCGTTTATGTGTCGTTGATAATAAACGTATTGATGAAGATTTTGTATGAAAAATTGATGAAAGAATTGATTTACGATTTGTTAAACCATATTGACGATGACGAAGAAGTGTAATAATATTATGTGATTGATTATTTACAGGATAAGTATTTTGTAATGAACATGATGATGTAGAAATTTCATTATCAAATGATAAAGACCAAAGACGAACTTGAAAATCATCAGAACATGTTATAAACTATTTTAAATAAAAAACACAAAAAGAAAATTTATATTTTTGATTATTTATTAAATCCATACCGAAAATGGATTCGTTGGATGATAAGCAACAGCAGTTACTTCTTCAAAATGATGTTCAACTTTCATAGGTTCTATCAATGGTTGATTAATCTAAATAAATAAGGAAATTAAACATGAGCTTTAAAGCATAAGATTACATAAAAGAGTAAAATTAGACTAATAAACGGTTTTTGTGTACTCAAAAAGTGAGTACACTCTAGAATCGGTCAGTATGTCCGGCCGGCCGGCCGTTTACACGATAACTTTCGAAAGAAGAGTCCGATCACGATGAAATTTTCTACACAGTTCAGTCTTTACAATATCTCGGTCGAGTTCGAAGATGAGAAGGATCGGCCGAGCCGTTCCTGAGTTATTGCAAAAATACCCATTTTNAATACGATGATATACGTAGAAATACGGAGCAAAACGGAGATTGTATACGAACTCTGTATACGATGTCAGTTTACGATCGTATTTTTCTCCGTATATGACCGTATTTCTCCGTATACGACACGGAGATATACGATCGTAATACGTGACCATGTAAATCGTCGTATTTCTCCGTATACGGTCGTTTACGACCGTGCTTGTTCGACCTGGGTAATTAAATAAAGACCATTCGTTTTATTAGGATAACAACCTAATTTCACGTCATCGGATACAACCAGAGCATCAATCTAAAGTAAATCAAAAGTAAATCTGGGCAATAATTAAGCAAATTTTCTTAAAAAATACTTTTGAGTATGGGGACAAAAATATAAAATTCACATTTTCCACGGCCTTGCCAAATTTTTCTGTAGCCAGTATTGTAGAAACGCTTAATGCTAAAAAATATTAGCGCGCACGAGAAAACCAGCTTATTTACGACGAAATATTCTAGATTATGTCTGGCTCTGCAGCGACACTTGATGGAAAATGAAGATTTAAAAAAAATTAAAAAATTTATTAAGAAGAATCACACCGAAACCAAGAAATGGACAGTGTACATTGATTCGGTTGTGCCGCATTTCTGTGCTTCCTTCTTTCAAAAGAATCTCTTAAGGGACACCCTCAGAAAGAGTTATTTTCATTAAGAAAAAAGCCACTTTTTTTTCTCATACGTCAGATAGTAGACAAATATTTTTCAGATTATACATCACTCATTACTGAATGATTAATCTTCGCAGGCGTTTGAGGCAGTTTTCTAAAAGCTCTAGAAACCATACATATTTTACATTGAAACATTTTGACTCCAAATCTCTCCTAATTTTCTGTTTATTAACATAAATTTGCTGTATAAAAAGGAGACGTATTGTTCTAAACGAGCTAAAATACCCTAAAACGCACATGCCTTTTTTGTTTCTTGCGATTTTGTCGCTACTCTCGTTTAGTCAGGAGCAGTTTTCTTCGAAACTATGCAGTGCAAAATATAATTTTATTCTAAACGAAAGTCAACACTAAAATGCGCAAAAGGACCAGAACCAATTTTTGATTTTTAGTTTTGTTAGAGAAAACAGCACAGATAGTTAACCAGTAAACAAAGACTTTTCAACTTTCCATTTAAAATGTCTATCAAAAGTGAGCGGAGAGCAAATTCAGAAATTGGCTTGGATTGTTTTGTAAAGTTTAAATGTCTTATTTAAAAGAAACGAAACTTTGGAGATGTCGTTTTTTAAAAAATACTGTGGCGATTTATGCAGTTAAATGAACATAGATCTCCCAAAAGATGAAATAAGACTGCCAAAAAAGCTTGTTAGCGCAGCCCCTTTGGGGCTGAAATGTGGAACTCACATATGTCCTTCAGCTTCGTTATATTAATACAAAATACATAAGATGTAAAATCAAGAATTTTTTCTTTTTCGTTTTCTGATGGGCGCCCAATTTTTTGTCTTCATTGTTACTATTCGCTCATTATTTTTTTATTTCTTTTAAATTCTTTTTTGCTTAATTTATCATTCTTATTATTATAATCATTGAATTGATTGACAAATAAGTGTGTTTTACATATCTATGATATCTACAGCAGATCTTACACACTATCATATATATATTAATCAAGTCACAAATTATGATATTCATTGTTTTTCAAAATTATAACTTTATCAATTTTCCAAAAAAAAACTTAAGAAAATCTAACATCTTTTATTATTGATTGCTAAGATCTGTAATGAGGGCCTACGTTGCTAGGTTTCTGCAATGGGGTGAGGGGGAGGGGAGCCCGAAAACTTGAACTTAAAACGTACACTCACTATTTTCGAAAATATATATGAGTTCCATAAAAATCCACAAAATAACAAACAAATAAAGATCTTCGATCCCTAATTGTTTCAGTGGATTGGGTTGTGTCGTTCAGAAGTCAGTTTCTGAGAGAATCTTCCCTTAAAAAAGGGAGACTATTTTATTAGCGCATATCCCATGACAAACTTTCAATTTCAAGCTATAAAAACATTACCGATCACGTAAAATATTCGTAGAAATATCTGATTTTCAGTAGATAATTTTCGATACTGATCCTGATAACTGTCTCAAACGGTACGACAACACTGCTTGAGTGTACTCTTATGTCTGAAAACTTCGGAAACTAAAACATGCCGACTTTTACAAATTTCCAGACGACTAAAGCAAAATTTGAGCACTTGTAATAAGAAGTTGCTAGCACGAACCAGGAAATATTCTACATATAAGAACTATTTTAATTTTTGATAAATTCTTCAACGAAGTTCCTTTTCTTGATATATTTCAATAAAGTAAGCCTAAAGATCATTTCAAAACGCTTCATGTATTATTAAACATTACGCTTTACCAACAACTTGTGGAAGACTACCATCAAACACCAGTGTATGGAAGAAGCAATTTAAAAAAAAAAAACTAAAAAACTAAAAAATATTAAATTCTAAGACAAAATAAAGTTTTCTAGGCCAATTGTCGAGAGGAGAATGAAAAGTTTTATAACCAAGAAGAGCGAAAAAGAGCATAACTACAAAGCCAGATTCGAATATAAAATAGTTTTACTTACTGTAAATGATGCTCTTTTATCTTTGCTTGACACCATTGAGGCTACACGTCCGCCAAAAATGATTTGTTCAAGTTGATGGCCAGCATCGCCTTTCTTTTTTTTTGTGTTTTTCGTACGTTCCGATTCTTTGTGGAGTAATAAAAATTTCTTTTGCAGGTTTCTTCGATTGTAATTTAACTTTTTTTTCTTTTGACCTAGAAAAAAAGAATATTTCAGAAATTTTGTTTACTCATCAAGAAACACTGTTGTTATTGCACTTACACACGTTTTTTTGTTTTTTTCTTAAAACCCAATAGATTCATAATGAATGGAGTAAACATATGCCCGATTTCGTGAATTAATTTGACAAATGAAAGAAAATAATGATGATCTTTTCGATCAGTTGGCGATATTTCACATGCAGTTAACCACTATAAAGTAGATTAATAATCTTTTCAATTTTATCTACAAAGTATATAAGTGAACTTTTTACTTGGTTATTGACAAAAATTAATTGTTCATGTTCTTCTGTTAAATCGCCAGTCGATGAAGGGTTTGATTCCATAAAATGTTTTTGATTGCATGTTGCTGTTCGAATTTTAATTGATAATTTTTGTACGACTGTTTGTATGAATGTCTTCTTGTCTTCATTGGTTAATTGTTTTGCTTGTTGTTGTTTTTTTCGGTAGACAATCATAAAATGCATCAATCAATAAACTAATTGCAGGAACATACAAATATTCGTTTGAGAAAAAAATTTCAAATTTTTGTAGGCCATATGTAATTAAATCATATTGATCTCCTGGTAATCTTCTCACTTTCAACAGACATGATGATGAAGCTTGATTTTGGAATGTAGTTGCTGCTAGATGACAGTAAATTATAATGAAAAAATTGTTCTTGTACAGGAGAACACTACAAACGATTTGTAAACACATGAAAAATCTTCTTACGAGCTCAAACTATCCGTTTTCCTTCGGAACAAAATGAATTTACTTGTAATAATTTTAAACGTAAACAACAAAAGTATGTTTTCCTTCGATAAAAATCACCGAGAAAGTTTCTTTTCTACACAAAAGAAAGAATTCAAGACATTCTCGTCTCGGTTTTGAACTGAATAGAAAGAAACTCCAGAGATTAGAGAATAAATTTCACAACGCGCAGTAATTTATTGTCTTCTCAGTTGAAATTTCTACTAGCCTTGAAACTGCATAAATAATCAGAGACAATCCGTAAGAAAAGCCAAAGAAAATAGTTATAGATGATTATCTAAAAAGATCGAAACGGTTTGGTATAAAATAGAAAGAAAAAATATTGTTCAACAGATCTGTAGAATCTGCACGTAGATTGCAGTAAGACCACAGGCAAAAAAGTGAAACGTTGGAGAAATTTTGGAATAGAAGAGAAAAGAAGAATACAGAGCTAAAACAGAAACAACGAAAAAAGTTGAAGAAAAAATTACCAGTTGACTCTTTTTAGGAATTATTGATTCAATAAGGAAAAAAAAAGTTATATAATACAAACCAGTTTGTTACATTTTGTAGATACAATTGGGGAAACTTTTACGTTGCTTTTAGAGAACCTATGAACCTTTTTCCGCTTCTGATTGTTCAGCAAAGCATATATACATACATATCTCTCTCGCTCTCTCAATAGTTGAGAGAGCGTATGCGTTGTATCTAAGATATAACAACAATGAACTTTCTAACATTTCATTTCCTGATAGCACAAAAAGATTTCCAAAACGTTTTCAGGAAAGAAACAGTCAGGACGTCATTGTCTTCTAGCTCATTCAGAAAGTGAAAAATAAGTTTTCCAGAGTTGGCTACAAAAATATTAAAACTATGAATTCACATGGCGCGCAAAATAGTGTACTTGTTATTTGGATTTTATATTACAAATATTTTACCAATAAACTAAACCGATAAATAGTATATCACTAAGACAGTAGCGAACTGTACGCCTCTGCATAAAGGTCGTTGCAATAACTACAATGATACAATGATAGGCACTCTATAGACTTAAGAAATTACTAGTTGGTCTATGACTTCTACCAATCATTTATGAAGAATGACTCTTTCAGATATCATCTGCATAAAAGAACTAATAATTATACAAGCGATTCTACAAACAACAAACGTAAATACTAATATTGTTGTACTAAATTCTATTCGACTGTGACTATGTGGGCAAATTTTAAATTTTTGGTCGGAGAACACGTTTATTCTGAAATGCAATGAGGCAATGGCGTTCTGACTGAAACATCAGCTTTGCGTACCAACAAAATACTGTCACTAGAAGAATGTGTAAATCCAAAATGAGTGTTGCTTGAACATTGGTATTTCTCCCTCACATATTTAATAGATCTAACTAACTTTCCTTTTGTTTCAGTTAAGATTTGAGCTATTCAAAGATAATTTGTTGATTTTTTTAGATATAAAGATGGGAGCTCTTAACTAAAACATTTTGAATGCAGTGCTCTATTATATTCATTTTTTCTTTCTCTCCTCTCTTACTGTTTACTAAATAAGAATTCATGCATTGTCTTTGCAGTTCAATAGATGTCACATGATTCTGAATACGATTTTTCACGCGCAGATATTGTATATAGTAAATAATCACTGGGCTCAGCCTACGGCTACGGCCTAACTGACCTAACTCATTCATTGACTGTTTTCTTACTATACATCTATCAGATTAAAAATAATTAAAAGCATCATTAATAATACATGATGGCGCCCTTATATTATATGATATCCATTATTCGTGCTAGTATGAAAAGAGTTAATTTTTGATTAGTTTTGTACATAAAATTACTAAAAGCTATAGCTTAATTTGCTAAGAAAATATAGTCAAATTTTTCGAAATAAATCTGATTAAATTAATTCACTTTTGCATTGGATACTTGTACAGAGAATTATGCAACCATGTGAAAACATGTAGTATTATTTGATGCCACAAGCATGCTTAAAATTGCTTGTATTAAAACTTATATGCATCTATTTAAAATTAAATAAATGTTTTCTAAGTTTAATTCAATTCTTTTGTTCATAGAGGATCGATAGGTATTTGGTTAAGGAGATTGTGTTGTTTTCTATCTATCTATATATGTATATATACCATTTTTATTCAATAAGAAATAATAAAGTTTAACAAAAACTGTTTACATAACAAGGAGAGAATAAGCAAACAACAAATATAAAATAATATGTGCACCTTCAACATTTTTACTATAAAACCAACAATGTAACAATTATAATAACACACGTTTCTTGAGTATCACCGAGATAAACAATAAAATAATTATTCAAACATGAAAAAATGAATATCGTTCACGTTTCATTTTTTTTTCTTTCACCGGGCTTCAAAATTAAAAAATTAAAAATTAAATTAAGGCTTTAATCTACTGAATTAATAAAATTTGTACCGTTCAGATGACCGAACATTTTGATTTTTTCTTAATTTCGCCTTCGAACGTGTTGTAATCGATATACGAGATGTTGAAGACGGCGAAATTTGAACATTTCCAATTTGATTAACTTTGAGCACATTCCTATTTATATATAAAAGTAAAAAGGTTAATTATATAGATTTTAATATTCCAAACAAAAGATGGAAATATGTATTTTGTAACAGTGAATAATGATAGGAGAATAAACAAGGTTAATACTCGAGACAAGTCATCTTTTGAAAAAAGAAGTATCACTGACCCTTTTTTATATCAGTGAAAATACATTCCTCAAAAAATGTCTAAAGTTCCATCACACTTTTTAAGTCGACTTGTCAAATGAGAGACGACATCAAATGATAAGCTCGATCATTAAGCAGCATCGTCACAATGAAATACTTAATTGATTAAAATGAAAGCTGACGATCGTGAAGAAGGAAGATGACTAAATATTCTTAGTTACTCACCTAACTCATTAATAATTGGTAAGAAATTCTTTTCAAAGTATTCAACAAATCGTTTTGGCCAATGTAAATATATAGTTTGATACTGTACACAAAATTCATTGTAAGATTATGCACGTAAAAGATTTTTAATTGTATCGATAACATGATCAATAATTTCTTTTTTGTTCGCCTGAGTATCAGCATCATCAGCAACATTTGTTTGTTGTTCAACGAAAAAATACTTTTTAGCAGCTGCTTTTATATCAGCACTACCATGATTCCAACATCGCAACTGTAATATTGTCGGATAATATTTTCGAAAAGCATTTTTTAGTGCATCTTCACTATCAGTTACAACAACACAGTTTTTATGAAGATTTGGTAAATCCATATTCAAGATTTGTACAAAACGTTTATGTCCTGATTGAAGTTTTCTATCATGCATAAGAATTGTAAGTGGAAGTGTTGGTCGTTCGGAGAAGATTATATTTCCAAAACCAAGTATCTAAAAATAAGAAATATATTGTAATATTTTTCTGGAAATGTACAAATCCTTACAAAAACATAAATTTCACCAAGAGCCAATGTTGTGTCACAATATAAAGGCATTATTTCTTTTTGGTATTCTAAGAAGATTTAGAAGTTGGCTTTTCATTTAATCAAGTATCCTCAGAACGATGATTCCAGCCTTCGTATCCGCTCGGAACCAACAAGAAACAGAGCTATTACCTACCTATTTCGGCAGGTTTTCGTGAATTTCCCCCCGAAACCGCCCGGACAACAAACGGAACATGGAAGCAGTATTTCAACCTGGAAAGCACCGTACCGGATCCTTCCACCTTTGCACAAATCCATTGCCTGGAACCATCTCGAAAAACTGCCATATTTGCGTAGGACCACTTAAGGAAACTTATCATATCCTGCTAGGAACCTTTCAGAACCCTGTCATATCTAGCCGGAATCAGAGCGGAAAACGGCAGCATTTTATCCGATATTATCTACTAACAACTAAGATAAACCCCGAAATCTACGGAAAATGGACAAACTATTCCTAAATCGGATGCTGCCGTTTTTTCCAGCAAGATCCGCTCATTCCCACCGCTTTCCAGCAGGAAACGTTTCGAAACGACAAGCAGAATCCCACAAAGTCTCGATCAATACTGTCCGTAAGACACGTTCGTATCCCACCATTACCATCAAGATACGCTGCATTGGGTCGTTTTCCCCCTCAGTTCCATAAAAATCCTTTATTTTTCTGGATAAAAATTTTACCATTTGAGAAGCAGCGCTGAAACAGTGCTGATTCAGCCTCATAGTACACTTGGCAATAAAATTAAAAAAAATGTTTATTCTTTGAGAATCAGCGCTCTTTCCGCGCTCAGGGTGTGGGTGTGGGTGGGTGTGAGGTGTGTATATTCAATAAATACGAACAATGGATGTGGATATGAATGTTCTTTGCTTTCCACACTCATACCCACACATCTAAACCCACACTCAAACTGATAGCCATACCCAAACACCAACACCCAGAACCATACCGTAAAACTGCTACAAGAGCATTGCCAGGTTTGTATCAAAGATAATATGTATTCAAGCTTTCGGTACGTGGGACCAGTTAACGTTAGAAATAAGATTACAGAACAAAGAAAAAAATGTACTATTATACATCGATGCATAATAGTGCACTTTTTAGTTCTGTCCTATGGTTGTATTCCGGGCGATAACTGATGTCACGTGCCGAAAACTTGGATACATGTTATCTTTGGTTCAAACCTGGCAATAATGTTGTAGCAGTTTTATACTCACAAATCTATTTCACGTATTTTTCACGAGTAAGTTGTTCTTTTTCTTTTCTGACACAAAATACTTTTTACTTCGTCAGTATTGATGAGACATGCACGCAAACGATAAGGCGAGAATCAACCAAGTAATTTTGTGTCTTTTTCTCCTTCTATTCTCTTTCCTTTACCACGAGTTCTGTTGTCACGTTGCAGATAGATTGTGGCAAGCGTCTTCAAAACGTACATTGTAAGTTAGGAAATCAGTTATAGAGAGCAGAGAAGAATATTCCAGGAATTCCCATACAAATTATAAAATGAATTTATATCTTTTTGAAACTACAATATTCTAAAAAGTTCAAAATGCAATTTTCGATATAGGAGTTAGAAAATCGCGATAGCTGTCGTATAGACATTTTTAGAATATCGAAGCCGATTTTGAATTCGAAAAATTTTTCAAAAAATACAATATCTATTATAATTTTTCATCTTGACAACAAATAGTTCTTACGCCCTTCTATCGGCTTTACTCATAGCCGTAACTCTGGTTATAGGTCAAAAGGGTATATACAATCGAGAAAAATGTAAGCATTAGTTGAGATATCATAGTCTGAAAATATCAAAAAGAAAACACAATTATCTTATGAAGATTTTCACATGTATATATTGAAAGCAGGCTGTTTTTTTATACAAAAAAAAGTCGAAGCTACTAGGTAATTACTCTTATGTACTTAATTCAATATGCATAAGTTCTTGTGGAAGTGTAACTATATTCAATCACGACTTTTATTATTAGAAAAATCTCTGAATACGACTTATCAATTTTGAATGTAAGAACTATATATGAGGGACAGTGTCTAGCTCAAAAACAAACAAATGAAAAATATAGGAAATATTTTAAGAAAAAAATATAGTCATTATGTCTCATGAATAATCAAAAGTTCTTAATTGCTTCAGTATTATACGAGGGACTAGTATACACTACCTGTACTTCATGTAACTCGCATACTAGCTGCAGCTACCGGGGAAGAAAATAAATTCCGAAAATCGTCGATCAACTTACACACGTGACTTAAAAAATGACTGTATAGTCGTCATCATTTAAAAGATTTCTCAAATCGTAATTAGTATTAATTGTTTTCTTTTTGCAAAATCTAGATTAATTTTCTATGAAATTGGAATTCATTTTCAAACATCTTTAACAGTTTTTGTTGGTTTTCCAATGCATTAACAAATCATATTTCACTAATAATTTGAAAATGTTTGAGCTTTTTCCAACTCGATTTTCTCAAACGAAAAATTTGTTATCAATTTTCATTGTACAAACGGAATCTTCAATACTTGTGAAAGAAATATTCTAATAATCATCCATTTTCAAAACTATACGAGATATTTTGATTGTTGTTTTCTACAATGTGTATTATTTTCAAAAAAGACTTTCCTCTTTCTTCATTGCCGCTAACTATGTGCTGCCTACTAGTAAATGGTAATGCCATTTGCCTTTTTGCACGTATCTACGTCGTCATGTGCTGTAAAGTGCTAGGAAATGATAGAAAGATCATTGTATGACTTTACAACTATTTACTTTTAGGTAAGAAACTGGCGATTACGCGTTAAATAAATATTTTGGATAAGAAGCTTGTAACGAGTAAAATATATCAGGAGAAAGTTATTGACTAAGATAAAATATGATAAAACTCACACTTTTCGGTTTGACTTAATGAAAAAGTAATATGACCACAGAACCTGAAGTCTATCGATCTCTATTTAAAAAATCTGTACTTCAAAAGTACTCTGCCAACATTTCCAGTTAGAGGTAAATTGTCAAAGTTCACACAGCTTCCGCTGCGCATTGCGACTTCTTTAGTGAGTCTCACTATAATCAATTGGGATTTACTGTTACACTGTAGCGCATCCAAGACAACATTTCTACTCGTCAGCATATACTTCTAGTGATGCGTTGGGTTGCAAAAAAACAGTAAATCTGAGATTTTATAACAGCCGATTAAAAATGTTTTTCGTTTCTCTTCTTTTATAGATATAAACGTAGAACGAAACAGTGATAGTACGACGTTCTAAGCACGGAGAATCAATTGGCCTAAGATATTAAATAAGTGGGACAAAGGCAACTCATGAATCACCCAAATCATGATTTGATCGAAATGCATGGCAACTCCAAACCACCAAATAATTCATTAGATAGAGGCGAATTAGCTACTCCTTGTAGTACTATACAACAAACGGGTATGACAGCATCTGATTGGAATAAACGATGGGAGAATAAGGCTAACGTGAGGCGCTGGGAACTCACTATTATTCATCCATTTTTGGAGAAATATTTGCCTTCATCTACCACTCATCAGCGTGTTATCGTCCCACTTGCTGGCAAGACAGCAGATTTATTTTGGCTCGTTGATAAAGGATTTCAGGTTGGTTATTCATTTACAAAGATGAGGATGCTTTTGAATGATAATCCTCAGATAAAACAATTCCAGATGTAGAATTCATTTCATTCCATTGATAATTCTCACACAGAAAAAACAGAAGCGTTATTCCTTCTCTTCAAGGAATACAGTAAACATTCCTGTTGGATGCAAGCGTCCTATAGGTAAAGTTTGACTGAGCCCGAGTGAGTTTGTGAAACCACGAGTTATAAATTATTCCAAGTCATTTCAATCCTTACGCCCATTTTATGTGATTCAGAAAAGTCTTCTGAACAGGTTATTCGAAAACTACAGTCACCTAACTACACCAAAGCATTTTATCGGTGAAATTCTTCTACGATTTCATTGAATATGCACTTTCTTAGAAACTGAAGGCACTTGGCATAAGTAATCTGAATCGTTTCTTTCTTAAATACAGCCGAGATAGAAAACAATCGCGTTTATTTCGACGTCTCTAAGTATTACTTTTCTGTTGGAAACAGTTTCTTGTTCACATTTGCTATTAACATCGTTTGTGGTTCAAAGTGAAGTTGCATATCCGTTTTTTTTTCAAGTGAAGTGCTTCGATTCAACAGATTTTCTGTGTAAATTGAGGGTATGATATCGATAGCTTGGCTATATTGAACTTTCGCTTTCCCCCCATACGAACAGTGTAATCCTCGAAGTCAATATTTCTGAAAACTAGTCAACAACGTTGTTGTGATTCTAGGTAATTGGAATCGATTGTAGCTCTTTGGCTTTTCAAGAACTGTTGGATGAGCAAATTGGAACTGGCAACTACACATTGGAACAGCGATCCCCTAATTGCTCCATTTATTCAGCATGCGATAATCGACTCGTTCTAGTCGCATGTGATATATTTGCGGACGAACTCGCTCCATCCCTTATCGGTGGTCCTGTTTCGTTTGTTTGGGATCGAGCTGCGTTGGCTGCTTTACATCCTGCAGATCATGCTCGTTACATCGAAAAACTCAAACAGTTATCGAAGACCAATGCACTATTTTTGTTCAGTGTCTATTGGCACTCGGGTCCAACTGATAGAGATCCACCATTTCCCATCAGTACTGAAACCATGAACAAACTCTTTTCATCTGGTGAAGTAGTTAAACTCGACGAATTGGATTCTATGAATGAAGATTGGACACAAGTTGGATATAAAGATTTATGCGAACGATGTTATCGAGTTCAGTTTTAAGCGTACTGTGTATCGGTATCAAAAACTCATCAGACACATATTTTAAACGAGAAAAAATGACTAACTCGACTTTTTCAACCACTGAAACTGTAGTGAATCGGTAAAATGACTGAAAATCAACATATAGAATCAGTAATTATTTAGTGAAAATTGTGAGCGAGGAAATTCACTGCGCTAACACTCACACCCACATCCATTTTTCAACTACAATGCAGAGTTCTTAGCAATGTTTTATATCACAATAAAGAACACTAAGCGCATTGTCAAATTGTACTCTTCATTTCTTTAATTGTTTCTGATACAAACACAGTAGCTTATTATTTTAACATTCATTTAACTGGAACAAAACAATTGATTGCTGAAAATCAAGAGTTGAGAACAAGTAGATTGTATTTGTCTTTTTTTCAGAATAGAGAGATCAATCAGTTTTTCGAAATATTCTATTGCAGGGTGTGGGTGGAGATGCAGGTATATTTTGAGTCGAGATCCATACCCTCAGTCACATTCGTAATCAACGAGGAATTTCGTATCGGATGATATATTTCATGTAAAAAACGCACTAAAAAAATTTCGTCCGATATCTTAGCGGGGAGTACCGAGTTGCGGAAACCTGATAGATGAGTTCCATAAAAGTCAGTTGGAAATGTATTCTCCACGAATTATCTTACTATGCCTACGTGGTTTTTATGAAAAATAATGGGAAATGAAAAATGACCTTATCACCATCCATCCATCCTTTTCTTATATGGCATTTCGTGCAATATACATAAATATATTAAAAGAAATTTGAGTGGAGAAACAACTATACTGATAACATCACATAACCATAATGAAAGAATGCTTTAGAATGTTTATCAATTCTTCTTATCTCATAAATTTGCTTATGCAAGTTTCTTTGTTTACGTACATCGAAGCATTCGAACAAACATGAATAGAAATACATTTGGAGATTTCCCATTTCTTAATTGAACTTGATTACTTTCCTTTTTATACTTATTTTTAGACTAATTGTTTTTGAGTTTCTATCAAATTACATGAAGAGTATACAAGAATTCAATCATAGTTAAATAAAAAATAGCATATAATTCAAATATAAAAAATACATAGTAAGTAATTTCATCATGGCGTCACATCACTGATGTTCTTTGTACATTAATGGCCATTTTGGACCCTTCACGTCTACCTCTCTCGTTTTTAGATAAGGTCCAAATTGAAGGCATGCAAAGGCTATTTAAATAATTCGCATTGTGAAGTTTCAAATCCTCTGATATTGTTTCGTTGCGTTAAAAACTTGAAAATAGTCTTGATAAAAATGTAAACATGTAATTGTGTTCTTTACTTGCAAAACATCAGAATAACTTCGACATGATTTGATTCGAGCTTCAATAAACAGAAAATTACATCCACTCTTTATACTCTGAACAGATCCCGATATCTGTCTTCGGCAACTTGGACATGAGAGCCTTGATGGAACAATCTAAATTGACAAATAGATTGATTTGATCTATTAATATAGATCACAGACCGACATTGAAGTGACTTGGTAAATATAAATTTGAACTGAACCCAATTCAAAGAATTTTTTGAAAAATAATGAACGCAGGAGAACATATACGAAAAATGCTTGATTGAACTATTTTCTTTTCTTTTAATTTGAGATAGTGTACGCAATGATCAACCGACGTTTGATAGCTTGATTCACTTACTGAATTTAATTTTCGTATAACGTTGTGTTCTTTTCTACTTAACAATACCATTAATTACCGTTATCACGAACAGTCACTTGTACGCGATGTAATTCTTTCTTTCATTTTGGTCTTCACAGAACAGACATGGCTGAATCATTCTTTAAGCAGTTGACCTATGATCATCTTCTCTTCAATCTTATCTTGTAGTTATTGTATACTGATGTTTTTCTAAGTTATTCAATTCTACATATCACTTTAATAAATCTTCAACTACCTCTTCAGTTTCTCATTTATCAATTGAAATTTCATCATCACAATCTATCCAGAATTGATCATCAAATTATACTACTGATCCGATTAGACAGTCATTTGAAAACGATAATAAGAATAAGAAATCTATTTCAAATCGAAAGAAACATGTTTGAGTTGCATGATGAGAGACAATTGAAATGAGCTTTCTAACTCGAGAATTATATGCTAAAGATGAATTTACTGTGATTCCTGACTTTGTATCACGCTTCAGATGTTTTTGAAACTTGTCGTTATGCTAATTCAAACCCTACTCACATAAAATTCTCATAAATGTTTGAATATATTACTATTAGATCAAACATAGCTTTATCATCATTTCTAATCTAAACCAAAGATCGAAAACGCATTGAACTTGGACTTGAACCCGTAAAAGTTGGCTCGACTTAGTCTCTGGTATGGACTCAACAGGTCAATATGAAAGGCTAGGAAAATACGTTTTATTATCTATGCCAGCCTTGAATGGTGAAAAGAAGATCAAAACAAGAAAAGGGGAATATTAAAAAATCGGAAAAAAACATCGAACAGTAGTTAAACTGAAAACCAATGTTAGTATACGATAATATTGAGGTGTGAGTGTGGGTATCGCTGTTCATATTTATTGAATACCTACACTCACACCCTCAATAAAATTGCCTTATCCATGAAATACAATAAATATGTTACTCATATAACTAATAATAAAGCCAGAAGAAAATAATGTTCATTTTTTATAGATATAAAACAATTTGTCTTACAAAACTTATGCATAAATATCTAAGTTACATATTCTTTTATCTGACAAAAATGACAAACTGTTTTTATTATGCGTAAATTTTGATTGGACGTATGAGTTTAAGACAGCTTACGATATAATTAAAGAAAAGTAGATGACTCAATTAAAATCCAAGGACAAATATTGATTCATTTCGAAGTTCATGCAAATATAAAGATAATGATTTCTAAGCAAGAAAATAATTTTGTAATATATATTTGTTTGAAAACTCTTACGCATTTTTGAACGCGAAAGAATACACATTTTTGACTATATTTAGTTTATAATTTAGTTAGTTATAAATCTCTTGCAAATGATTTATATTTAAAATGAATACAATTGCCAGCAGTTCGACTTTATTTTAAATTAACAGGATAATGACATCCTCTGATTCAGAAAACCCATATTACATGACTTTAAAAAATTCGCAATTATAGCGATTCAGCAAATACAAACATAAAGAGCTATTCACAGGCAGAAATTCTGTTTCTTTCGAAAAAATCAAAGGACTACAGATTCAGTGAAAAAAATTGATGGCAATAAAACCGATTGTTTTCATATTGCTTCGAAAGTAACTCCATATGGAAAAGTATGAAGTCTAAGAGCAATCACAAAATGTGCAAACGCGATTGCAGAGTGAATGATTATCAGATAAACATATTAAAGATTTAAATTGGTCGATTTTCTGATTGGTGAATAGCTATCTCTAGCATAAATGAGAATCGAAAAGAAAAACAGTTCGATACGAAACTTTTTCGACTAAGATATCTTCCAGATGTTTAGCACAAGAATGTCTCGAGTGCGAAATCTGAACAGGTTTTTTCATGAAATTCATTAAATTAAGACATTTTTAGCGAGGATTCGTGCATTTATGCGATACGCGAGAGGTATAGTAAAGTTCCACAAAATTCTACAAGGATCATTTGACATTATTTTTAGCATACATTATCATAAACGGTCGTTTGTATATTATGCGCTTCGATCTCATCTTAGAATAAATAAATAAAAGCCAGGAGCAAGAAACTATCTTTGTGAGGGAGACTAAACATAGAACAATCTCTAACATCTCTCGTACTTAACATTTAACAAAAAAACAACACGCAAACAGTATTTAAAAACTACGCATGCTTTGTTTGTTAATTCGATATTCAAGTTTGTATTAGCGACAATGAAGCTATCTAGCTAGGCAATAGTACGAATCGCTTTTTATTGTGTCGTTCAGATTTCAACAAGAGCTATTGATTGGTATATGTAAATGCTTAAAAAAGTTGCTATGGAGCTTCATTTTAATAAGAAAAACGAATTCTGAGTTACACACATGCTGCAGAAAATATGATCTCGGTTGGATGATTTCTGAAAGCAATTTATTACAGATTGATTAGTTGATAGTATTATATGAAATTCATCAGAGAATTACATTATTAATCATTACACATAGACTAATCATAGACTTCATGTGCCAATGCAGAAGACGAGTAAACGCTGAAAACCATGTTTTAACGTGTTTAGATAGAAAAACGGAGAAAAACTGCATTATAACTCATTTGTAGGATGAATGAAAATTTTAAACTGGTTAAAACGGTTTTTTTTCTTATATAAATATGTTTTAACGCATTTTTTAGGCAAAAAGTGAAGATTTGATGGGTTTTAATGCATTTGAATCTATAAATTAGAATCAATAAACAATTTGTTGTTTAAACTCGTTATCATTATTTTTTTGTAACAACGCATTTTAATTAGACCCGATATTTTGGTGTACTAGACTGCAGATAAGAAAATAAAAAAAAAGTTTGTTAAATGAGAGCAGGCAGATTTTAATTTGTTCCATTTTTTATAGCAAGTTTGTGTCTCTAAGATTTAAAATAAAAATTGTTAAATGATAAATCAGGCCTTTCATAGAGTACATTAGTGAGCCAGTGAACACAATCATTTATTAACAAAGTAGTTAGCTGTTGTTGAGGTTGAGGGAATGTTGGCGTTACTGTGGCACTTCTATTGAGTGACAACCACACCTACACTCACACAAGAGAGAAATTGCTGAAGTCAGATTGTTTTTTATTTTCTGTCAACTTAAAATAAAAATGTACGTGTTATGAAAATCTTTAGAAAAATTGAGGTAACTGAAAAAAAACGAAAACATCTCCTTCTTTTTAGAATTATTTTGATAGACCTCATTCTATAAATAAATGAATCATCTTTGTAGCAACTAAGTTTTATATTCAATACAAAATATGAGCTAATACTAAAAACAAGGCACCCGACACTGAGCAACAGAGCTTTTCTGAATAAATAATTTTTCTGACAATTTTTTTGTTTTATTTCAAATTGATAAAAAATTAGAAAATCAACTTTTTACCCCTTGCACTCACTGGTCTTGGTAGAAAATGTTGAAAAGGATAACGCCAAAAATGTAAATGGATTAAAAGGAAACGGTTGAAATAAACATCTTTTCTGTCTAATTAACAGTGATAAGTCTGACATTAGTTTCTTTGTCTTGATTTGCTTCTTGAGAAATCGGTCGTGCAGAATATCAAATCTCATTTGAGAAGCTTTTGCTTTTGTCTATTGTTTCACTGCAGATGCGCGACTTGATGACTTATTTAAATGTTTTCGCTTATGTTAGGTATATTATGAAACGTGTAATAGACAGTTGTGAGATTAGAGTCAATAGCTTGTTGTATTGACTTGAAAAGAACAGAAATAATAAAAAAACGAGCATGAGTCAGCATAATTTGAAAGATAGCATACCTATCTATATGTATGGGTATATGTATGTCTATGATAAGCTGTCAGAAGACATTTAAGAATAGAAAAAAACACCATATAACGATAATATATGTTATAATATCATAGTAAGTGGGAAAAAAACAATAAAATATTCCGTCGGTAGGATTTTTCCAACTTACAATAATCACGTATCTTTTTTTTTATCCACTAACCTTTACTATGTAAACAGATATATATATAGGCAATAATATTCGGGAACGAATATTATTGCTTTCTTGACTGTTCGGTAATTAAAAGACTATTCAAATTCAAATACTTCATATTTGCTTGCCGAGTATTCATTTATTACAATGTTTCAGATATAATTATAATTGTTGAATTTCACAATAAGTGTTACATTTTATATATTATTACAAAATTAAGAGAATAACAAGGTAGAATTTTTTAACATTCGATAAACAGTTTGAAAAGTACGAAAGAATTTTCTTTTTTTACATATATTGGATAATTTATTTATTACTAGGCTTTCGCTTCATCATTTTGTAACATTTTTCTTATAAAATATTCAAAACAAAGAGAGATTTCAGAAGACTCGTTTAATGCAGGTACTAGTTAATTGGCTTCTTATAATCATCGTTGGGAATCTAAAAAAGAACATTTTGATAGATAGTAATATTCCAGTAAATATAATATAGAAAAAGCTAAAAAATAGTTTATTGAAGCTACTGATATGAGGAAATATCCGTTTCCGATTATCCAGAAGATAATCTTTTTGAAAATGAATCCAATACAAAAATTCAAAAGACAATTTTTACAAATCATCGATCAATCTTTAAATATTATAAAAACCTATAGAAATTAAAAATCATGTCAAAGGTTTATCAAAAACTTTAGTTCTATAGAATGTCTGACTCATTTATGCATAGCGGTATATCAAATGAGTCTTATTTGATCTTTAATTTCGATTCTGGTTGTTTGTAGTTAGTTTTTTTTGAGAACATTTCATAAATGAGTCGAACTATCCTAATGAGAAAAAAAAACGAAACTGGCCGAAATACTTCATCCATATTGATCACCGATTCTCACGTACTAAGTCTTTATCCAAATGAATAGAATTCTCATCGTACATGTCCTTCTTGATTTCTATTATTTAAGTTTCTCATTTTATAACATATGCATCTTGTTCGTCGAATCGATCTTCTGTAAACTATTTGAACTGTGATATCACCTTAAAAAGCAATTCAATTGACGTAGGCGTCACTAGTTTAGTGCTGTTTGACTAGAAGTTGGAAGATTCCAAATAGACAAATTTGGTAATTTCTTCATATCGTGTAGTCAACAAAGAATAAGTTGGTTTGTCAGTTCATTTTTCTAGACCTTTTCTCACTACTTTCTCTACTTGTATACCATAAGATGTACTATCAGATTCTTTACAAAGTTGTATATTTTGTTAAGCGCGGTTACTTCTAATTTCCCCAAAAACTCATAAAATAGTTTCGAACAGTGATCTCAAATTTCTAAAATTGTTTCTGAGTTAAACGTTCTGGCAGATATATTTAACTCTTGAATTGTCGTTACTTTTTGTTTTAAGCCGATTTTGATATATCATCTTGGGAATTGAAGTGCTAGTACAAGTTTGAAAGATTTTTGTTATTGGAACTATTCTGCCTCGATGATCTTGCGATATTTTCTCTTAATTTGTGGTAGAATATCCCAGGAACTGATTTCCATGTTATCGGAAGATTGAGCCTCCCCACCAGATAAGTACTAGAGAAGTCGTGTCTTCTGCATCAGCGAAATTCTGATTCCGCTACTAATTTGAAGCGGCATATTCTTGTTGATTCTGATCATAACACGTCACTGTTTCATAGAGTTTTGACTGTGAAGGAAACGATTAGTATTTATATCTGATACTAATTCGGTCAAATATAAGGTATTTGCCGAGAAAGTATTATCAATCGTATAAAAGATTAAGAATACGTTTTGAGCAATGACGAAACATATCAGTAAAATATAGCACAGATTATTTACACGTTTCTTAATAGTATTTCCAAAAGAGATTCATTATTCAGAACTTAAGATCATTGAAACACAGAGTCTTGATAAAAAGCTTTTTTCACTCGTCTATTATCAACTCAATTCTAACTCAGATCGATTTTAAAAAAGTTACAAATACTTTTCGAAACTGTATTTCTTGCAAAAAATTAGTATCTACACTAAATGAGATATACCATTTTGAAAATAATTTAGCGGCACAAGTTTTGTTATAGAACTTACAGAAACTCATGAATGCAGATCTGAAAAAAACAAGTTTAAAAACACTAACGCACTCTTCCAAGATCATCTGATAATATAAGTAGAGAGGTGAAAAATTCAAAAGTTGAATATCATAGATTAATGTATTAATAAAGCGTGCTCGTCTTTCTATGCACATTTAGCACTTTTTTCACATTTTTTTTCATACAGTTGTTCTAATGAACTTTATCACAATATGGATAAGGTTATGTCTTGAAAGAATAGAATTATTCACATAAACCGATTTTTACTATTTTAGGTATCAAAACACGTACACCTTTGCTAGATATCGTACGACTTAAATGAATTCAGACGACACTATTGATACTGGTATTGAAGGTGAGTGAGAGATAGAAAGAGAAAGGAATGAGAAGTTTAATGCGATTCATGTTTAATCAAAACTAAATAGAAAGTCGACGTTCTACGAATGATACTGAAGATTCAACGTCAGTTGAAGATAACAGCGTGGTCCGCTCGTCGAGTCCAACTTTAGAACGAGCTTTGGCAATCTCATGTCGAACTTCGACTAGTTAAGTATTTTTCTGACGTGTTCTCTTCATATGAATGAAAAATGGCATATTTTTAGGAAGAAATACTCCAAACTGGGTGCCAAATACTACGTAAGTAGATTTCAGAATCGATGGAAATGAAATAAGAAGATAAGAAGATATCTGTTCTCATACTTCTAATTACGCAAGCAAAGCATAGAAGACGACTAAGCCTAGTCTAAGTCAGATTCTGGATATATCGTTACATATAGCTCAAGGAAAGTTGTATGGTACAGAAGTACGCCAATGTACTCAGTTAAATACAAATACTAATTTCGTGATTTTTTTTTCTGACGATTTTTTATTTATTCGTACCTCACTATGCGATAAGTATGACACACCGAATCGTTGTTCTTGATTTTGATGCCAATACCAGAAGGTATCATGTAATCCGAAAGAAAATTCTTTCCTGAATTAACTTTTCAAATAAGGAAACTGAATTGTCGAGAATTATATTTATGAAATGAAATTCGACTCGTTATTTAGTCACTTCTATAAATTGAAAGACTTTTTAGATATGAGAAAAAGTGAAGAAGTCATTAATCATAAATATTCGTTTGTAAATCAATTGAATTAATTTTCTCAGTATTGCATTTAGTATTTGGCCAACTTCAATTTCAAGCATACTGAATCCATTTTCTCGTGTTTGTATCTATGCTGCTAAGTATCCGAACGACTCAATATTGAGAGATTACTCTGGATTACAACAGTGGATGTTTCATTATGGAAATGTTCGACCACCTGCGGAATTGTGTCAGATTTTAGTGAACCTTTGTCTAATGGATCGAAACAGTAATGATAGGCTGGTCAGATTTAATATTCGTCTGATTTGTGCCGAAGCTTATCAAACAATTGGATGTTTAACACAAGCATATAGCGAGTTCCAGCAAGCTCGTTTGCTTGTTCCAGTTCTACAGCAACAAACGACGATAAGAAATTTCGGATCCATCGACGACGCACAAAAGAAAAAACTTGAGGATCTTTATATGAAGTTACGCTTTCAAAATCAGTTTCAATCCAAGCTGGGTTCCACGATGAAGACAGGTTAGGTTCTTTTCTAAAGTCCAATAGACTTTTTTCATTTTCTATCTCTAAGCCAATTCGAAAAAAAACCTTTTCTATCGTATTGCGACTCTGATATACCATTCAAAATATAAATCTCGCATGAAATGGAAACTACATGATACTAGGTTACCTACATTACTAGGATCATCCGACGAATTCGAAGCGATGCTTAATCAAATTAACGTAAAAGTCGCGGATGATAATCAATGCCGATATGTCTGGCGACAGATCGTACTCCAATTGCCCGATCATTCTCAATTGGCTCCTAAATGTGCAGATTGGCTGTTCAACTATGCGGCTTGTCATCCATCAAACAAACTTGCACGTGCAAGTAGCCTTTATGTTGCTCTTAACATATTTTTACTGGCTTACGGACCTAACTTCGTCAATGAAAGATCAGAAGACGATGTCTGGTCGATCCTCGAAGACATTTCACGAATGGTCGACGCTTATGGTGATCAAAGTAAGCAATTCTCACGATTGCACAAAATGGCTCATGTTTGGGGCACAGCAACTGTTCTCTATACTCTGACGTGTATGTCAACATCCCCTTATGCACAAGTATGTGCTTGTATAATGCGAGCAAGTTTTGAACATTTGAACATTCACTTCAATTCATCAGGCATCGAATCACTTGTTTTACTTGCTCAAACACATGCTCATGATTTTTTTACCTTAATGCTTAATGATCCAGGTGTTAGAATTCGCTATTTCTCTCCGTGTAAGTCTTACTTTCGAAACTATATTGATAAAAATGGTTCAATCTCCTTTTCACGAGCAGTTGTCCACGAGTTTGTCATTCTTCTGTTCAACAACGATGCTACCTACACAAATGAAAGACTTGATCATCAATGACAAGCTGATGACCACTTGTAATTGATATTTTTTTCTGATCGAACATGTTTGAGCGTGTTTATCTCACTACTTTTCTCATTTTATGCATATTCTTGAATATTTATTATTTTCTTAATCTAGCTCAACACTAAAAAGATATTCGAGAAAGTCAATGTTGTTGTTTTTAAGTCATATTTTGATGAGCATGAACCAGATTATTCTGTGATTTCAAGCACTAGCTTATCAAAGGGGCGAATATACTCGATATTTAGATATAAATGAGAAAACAGCAATATCTTCCACACTATCCTAGTCACACTTCACAGTCATTGCAATACTCAAACTACGCTTCCTACTTTCTTCGTCAATAATGGATCAAAGATTCATTTTCTACATTGTTGGAGTCAAATAGAATTCCACAATGAATAATAGTCGATTGGTAGTTGTGATAGATTGAGCTTGAAGGAACATTCATTATTCGAACTAACAAGAAAAAAAAGACTCTAAGTAATTTTCTTTACACTTCAAGAATCGATCTCAATTACTTGTGAATATGCCATGCTCGAAATAGTTTAATTGGAATCTCAATTCTGAATAGAAAGATTTCTCACTACTAATAAAACTCTTGAAATCGAAATAATGAGGAAGCAAACTGATATTAATAGGATCATTCGACGTATTCTGTAAGATTTGAAGAGCATTGACGACTATATGTAGAACTTCAAAACTAATTTTAGATGGTAGAAATTATTTCAAGAACGAAATGAACATTCGTACATATTAGGCACTCGTTCAAAATTAAAAATAAATAATGGAAGAAGCTCTCAACAAGTACTCAATGAGAAATGTAAAAATATCGGAAAAGCAGGAAATAAAAAATTGAAAAAAAAGCAATTGTAGGAATCAAACAAGACAATCTCGAATACTTTACGGAGTATACGTAAAGATCTGAAATGTGGGTGTTATATAGAGTCACACCCACACGTTAGTTTTTGAAGCTTTGCGACTCTTTCTATAGACTTCTAACTTGAAGAATATTCTCCGCATGCTCTAGCAAGTGTGCTTTAATCATCCTCTCCATATGGTTTACAGAGTAAGATTTTTCATTTTTGACTTAGGGTGGCTATGGGTATAATTCATCCCATTACACCCACACCCACACCCTAGTCTTAATGAGAACTAACTGTCTAGTTTTATCAAAAATCAATGATGTTATCAACACATAATGCATTAATCGAGCTTGATAACAATTTAAAATCATGGTATTATGTTTCTATTCAAGGTTGATCAATTTCAATTCTCACCGTTCAGTTCGAGATTCCGAGATTGAAGTCTTCTTTCACTGATCTTTTTCTTCAATATACATGATTTTCCACATAGATAAAACCTTTCATTTTGATCTTGAATTTTGGATATTAGAAAATCTCTATTAGACTTTCTCTCATAGATAGTGTCACTACTTTACGATAATGCTATGCCACAAACAGACGTTTTTCAACATATTAATAGATTTTACTTATGTCAATCTGCAACTACTATATTTATTAAATAAATAAATAGAGTTACAAAATACTGCAGATAGCGGAAGTTTTACGAGATTTCTTATCAACCATATTCGGCACATATTGTTTGATTTCATGTAGGAAACGTATATATGTACTCATATTCAATGGATGTTCGTTGGTTGTATCAGCCTTCAGTCGATCGAACATTGATTGGGGATTCTCCATACACATTGAATACATCATGTGTAATACACAACCATTCATGTCAACAACAACGGGCAAAAGACTGGTTAGTTTTTTGTCCATTAGGAAGGAACGAACATGATCATCACTCCATTCATCAATGCAATTCGGATACTCCCTTTGAACGTAAACAATTCAATTTTTCGATTTGCTCATAATAAATAAGTACGATGCTGAACATTTTTTCATCTTTCGGTCCAGTCTCTCGAAAAGACAACTAAACAAAGAACTTCGAGATTTGGAAAATATAAATATATTATGAATTTGTTTAAGTGCTGAAATAAAATTTATGATTCGAGTTTTATGATAAATCACATTTTAGTTATTCATTTGCATAAAAATGTTCTTACGTAGTGATATATCCTTAATACGAAATTTCTTGTGAATTCTGAAACGGTGAGGACGTCTAGGCAAGAGCAATTTTATATCTCAAACTCAACTTTATACATTGAATGGATATTCTCATTGTTTAGAAGGCATAGCTTGAATACAGATGCCGGACATTTTTAATAACAACGAATCAAACTATTTAATAGCTTACTAATTGCTAGCAAAAGAACTTGAGCAGTCGTCAGAATTTCTTTGATGTCACATGATCAAATAAGCTAAGAGTTATTTTTGATGCGAGATTTATTATGTTTTCTATTTTTGTCACCAGTTCTGGAAATGATGAAAACAATAATAGCAAAAACCTCAACATTTTTTAACATTTGGTTTATGCATAATTTTTTTCTTTCTACAGAGAAAAACAAAATAGATTAGGTTTTCAAACAGACCAAAGTGTTCTGAATGAGATGCTGGGATTAGTTTTTTAAAATACTAAAATTCCATATATATGTATATATAATAGAATCCATATTTGAAAAATCAATGTGTTACTTATGCAAATTTAGGCATTCAGTAAAGGCTATTGTTAACTTAATAGAAAAGATTTATCACTTACATGATCGATCGTTGTGCATTAGATGTCATTGCAGTGGTTGGAAGAATTTTTGACGGTGCAGGGATTTGTGAAACAGAATCGTGAACCAATGGTGGTTTTCGAGATGATGCTTCGTCCAGTGAATTTCTCTCTTTACGATATGCGTCGATTTCCTTTTTTAGGACAATATAAGCGGAATCAATTGTCAGTTTAGGAATATCGATATAGATTTTTCCACTGACTATGATGCCCAACCATCCATCTGGCTTATATCTTGAAGTCATGATCAATGGAATGAGTGGGCGTCGTTTCTGAAATGCATACTGAGCTTCTAATTGACAACAGGGACTTTGTTTGTATTCCTCAGACATACACACAAGAACATATTGACAACTTTCAATAGCATGAGCCATGGCATCCATAGGAGATCCATGCATATTTTCTCGATCAATCCACACTCGAAAACCATCTTTAATAAGACGATCATAAATAGCATAACAAAGATCTTTATTACGATGTGAATAGCTAAGCATTATGTCATATTGATCATTAGATGGAACAGTTGTCGATTCGATGCCTTTTTTATCTTGTTCAAGTTTCCACAAAATACCTTCTACAAATCGTTTCACATCGTCATCTGTAGAGTGAAGCAACGTTCTGAGATGTTCGATGAATCCAATGTTATTCTTGATATTGTTAAATGCTTCCTTGTTGAACGTAAGAGCCAGTAAAATCTCAAGCGACCATTTATTACCCTCACCTTGTTTTATAAGTTCTGGTTCGGTAGCACATCGTATTAAAAGGGGTAATCCTTGTTGTTTAACAATTTCATCTTTAATTTGATCGTGTTGCACCAGACCTATGAAAAACAGAATTAAGCATGTAAAATCACTGATTTACGAAGTCGAATAGGTTTGAAATATATATTTCTAGTATTTATTAGGAACAAGTATAAACATTTCAATTGATTTTTTAAAGAATTTGAAAAATAAAGGTGTTCTTTTTCATGAAGTTATAAAAGAATGTAAAAGCAATAATTTGCTATATGTGTTTATAAATCGAGTTACTCACTTTTTAAAGCTATTAATATGTTGCTTAGAGGTTCTCGTTGGTAAATATTATTACTGATATCGTTAATTTTTTTGAGAAAAATCGTGACAATTTTGTCAGATGATGCGAGCGTTTTAATATCTTTTTCTGTTAAGATTGCTGCTAAAATACGGTAAATTTGAAAATGTGTCGCTTCGTCCTGAATAGTGTCTACTATTGTGAGAAGCAATGAACTAATTTGAAGTTCTTTCATTTTACCAATGTATTGCTCGATAAAAATGAAATTTGATAATTGCTCAACAATTTCTTGTATTAATTCGATCTTAATTGAATCATTTTCTTCTCTAATTTGATTCACATTAAAGAGCATTTTGTATAGATGAGATAATAATTTTTCGTATTGATCGTAAAATGTTTCATTATTCATCACATCATAAGCACAAATAAAGAGAACAGCACAGATCGAACCTATCACCGTAGTTACTGATTTATTTACTTGTTTCAATGGCAGTCGTTTGTTAAAAAGCGGAAGAAGAATTTTTCGAACATCAGTTAATAGATGTCTGCGATGTTGACTTCGACATTGGTGTAAAAAAAGTGGGCATCTTTCAAAAAAGAATTGTTCTCGTACGCTCATTTCTGTTTGTTCTCCGACGTGTTTCAGCATTTCTTTGTACTTATGTGATACAAAGCATTTTGCTATTGCCTCGAAGAGTATTGTCATCAAAGGATTATCTTGAATGTCAATTCGCCTTCGAATTAAATTTTCATATGCAAAAGTAGATTATTTAGAACTTCTACAAATTCTTCTGATACATTCATTATATTCTCAGCGCATTTATTGATACTTTCACTGAATTCATTGATTAATGGTTTGTATATCAATAATCGTTTGAATATATCAACATGAGAATTAACGAATTTGAAGGTCATATTACTGATCAGGCTTGAAATGTCTTTGCCCAATTGATAAATTGTTTGATTATTGAGATAGTTGTGTAAAAGTGAGACGAGAGTATCGCGAAGAGTAACGAAAAGTGGATGATCCAATACTTGAGGATCATTCATTTGTTCATTTTTAATCGAATGTAAAACATTCACTATTATATTTAATTGTGTGGCATCGTTTAGATCTTTGTCCTGGTTGAGTTGAACGAGAATATTATCGCAAAATGTTTTTACTTGATCAACGGTAACTGTTTTTGTTTGTCTTTGGAATTCTTCACAAAGCTGATTGACGACAGACGAACTCATTTTACTAGAAATGAAAAGCGTCAAACAACTTTACAAAATGTTATGAATGATGAATTATGATGTAGAACTTTGTCTTCCTGCAAAGAAAAAAAAATCAAATACAAACGCCTGTAGTCTAAGGTAATTTTTCGTGTTGCTAAGGATAAAAACAAAGAAAAGAAAAAATAAGAATTTTTTTTTGGCTGTAACGCGTTTTTTTATTGTTGACAACCACGTGTAAATGTGCGAGTGCACGCATAAATATAAAAACTTCGTCGATAAAATAATCGAACTAGAAAACATCCAAAACAATGTTATTTACCATTATGATAATTTATTGACATTTGTATGTGAAAGTTAAATAAAGACATAGTTATTGACTCTCATCAATCAAACACATCAACAAATGATCGACAAAAGTAAAGTTGGGTGTGAATGAGTGTTGGTCAGATCTTCAACGAAACCCACATCCTTGATCAAGCTATATACTGCTGCAGAATTTTAAATCGCCGAGATTCTGTTGTTTTAAAGGGTTTTTTTTATTCATGGTGAACGTATACATATACAAGTACGCAATAGTATTCGTGAAGTCAATCTCTTTCATGTGTAAAGCTTCATCTGACGCCGTTCCCTGTTTTTCGGAGTTCATCAGGCTGTTGTTGATATCTGCGGAAGATCTATCGATGGAATTCATACATATTATGGGTCTGTTCATTGAGTGCTCGGACTCTTCAATGATATTACAATCGAGCTTCATGATGTTGTAGATGCGGTCGAGAAATTGTTCAGAAAGCTTGTGCTCGAAAGCGGTCAGCGGTGTCTCATACAGAAAGTTGACAAGCTGATTGAATGATTTTCCATTCGTGCTGGTATCAAGCTAGTAAAGATAATTGCATCGAAAATAGATATTTTTTAAGCCGCAGTCATTTTTCGACAATTTCATGATCTGAACGAGTCTAACCAGCCAGACAAATAACGAAACCAACTAGTTAAAATATGTGCTTTTTACAATTTTATTCTCGTTAAAATGTTGACGTATTTTTGTGTGTTGTTTTTTGTAGCTCTTTGAGGACCGTGAGGCATACGTTGTCTCACCTGTTTTTGCAATAGGCAAAAAAGTGTTCTGTTCACATTAAATTGTTAGATCTGCACGGTAATGCAGGTGTTAGATTGTTCTATTAGTCGACTAGCATGGCAACTTATGACCTGTATTACTGTGCAGGTGCAACAGTTTAATGTGAACAAAACACCTTTTTGTCTATGGAAAAATCGGTGGGACAAAGTATGTTCCACGATCCTCAAAGGGGTAGTTTGCTAATTGGTACCACTTTATAGTAAAAATCTTTAACAAGTTTCAGTTTCTATTGGGAGTTTGCTACACTACAAAATTTTTAATATACACATTTTTGGTATATATATTTTCAAGAGATCATACAGGACCCGATTTTTGGAACTATTGGATCTTTGAGTTTCGATCTCAAATTTAACGTGTATAATGAGTTTAACTAAGCTAGCTTTCATAAAATTATTCAGAAGCTTTGAGTAAAATTTCTTCGAGATATGACCAGTGGAAAAATGATATATTAAAAATTCTATAGCTAAGCCGAATATCAATAGGAACTCAAACGGTTTTAGGGTTTTCACTAGTACACTATGCAGTGCCTACAGGCAAAAAGAAAGTCATTGAACTGGGAATGAGTACTTGAAAATATCTCCTCATGCGTAAATGGCTAGAGAAGAATATGAGGCATTTGTAGTCTTAGCTAGCTGCAAAACTAGTGTAGATGAGTTTTTAGTTATTTTAAGTGTTATTACCATATTAAGATAACTAAGGAATCAGATAGTCTAAGTTTTACAGTCAAATGAGTCTACGGATTCCAGATATTTCTTGTAGCGATTTACTCAGCTCAGAAATCAAACGACCATTGACGCAAAATACTTAAGGCATACCAAAAGTACTGTTGTCATTATCTGATTTCCATATAGAAAGCTGGAAGAAATCTTCTTTTTTTATGCAGTGACAGAGAAAACGATCCTCTATTTTTCTCTGTTGTGTGATCACTATTGAACTAATACCGTTACAACAAAAATTAGGAAAAGAACTGTTTTAAAATGAATCTACGTCGCGAAGTGCGCACAGCGAATTTTTAATTCTCACGTGTGTGTGTGGGAGGGGGCGGGGGCTCTATTTGTCATTCTGGTTTTTCTCCTAACCCACCCGCACCCACACCCTCTCCGTTTGTAGGATCTAGAAGAGATCTGGAAAGATCAACACTAAAGTTGACTAGTTGCTTTTCTAAGTCATTTTGTATATTTATTTAGACGAACATTCTTTCTTTCATATTTTCAAAACACAAATATCATCACTTATTATTAAACTTGATGATAAAAAGTGACCATAAATAAAAAATATACTAACAAATATATTTACATATATTTTGACAATATTCACTAGTTTAGGTCATTTAAATTTTCAAGCATCTTCAATTTATTTTCAACAAATATTATTTGACATTTTACCTCAAAAACCTATTTTCTCTTCAACTTTATTAAAATTACATGTTAATTTGGAAAATTTCAATGATTGTCTTTATTTACTCAATGGTCGTTTCAATCAACTTCGTACATTTCATGTTAATATTTCTACTATTCGTTCACATCGCACAATTGATAATAACGTAAATTAATTTTTTGTTCAAAAAAGTTAATCAAATTCTTATGTTTTTTTCTAGAAAAAATTATTTAATTTAAAATCTTTTTCATTAAGTTATGATGTAAAAACATCTGTTTATGATGAATTAATTGTGCCATTTTTACAACGTATGTCAAATTTTAGAAAAACTTGGTCTATATCTATTGATTGATCATAATAAAATATTTGTTGATGGTAATGATTTGAAAAAGAATATTATTAATTATTTATCACATTTAAAAACATTTCAATTTGATATCTATTCATTTATTTCTATTCATAATCAAATTAATTTACCATCTAAAGATATTCAACATACATTAACAAATCTTGGAAATAATTAGATTATTTCTTGTTTTAATTATTTTTCTAAAAGTAAAATATGTTATTGTCATACTTATTTATACTCATTGTCAAATAGAATAAGATATTATTATTATATTACAAATAGTTCTCCAGGTGGATTATTTAAATATGTGCGAAAAATATCATTATTTGATGAATATTCATTTGAACATGAATTTTTTATTCGAATTGCTCAATTATTTCTATTTATTGAGAATTTATCTCTAAAGAGTCAAACACCACACAAGCACGTACAATGTCAAGAAGCAAATTTATGAATTTGNTAACTTCGCGGAACTTGAAGGAACCGACTGGATTCCGACAAATAAATCCTATCGGATCTGTCCTTCGGATTTCATCGGAATCCGGTAATCGGAATGCGTCGGAAATTATGGGAATCAATTGTGATCCGCTCGGATTCCGACAATCGGAATTCTATCGGATTCAGTCATCGGAATTCATCGGATTGAGACAGATCCGACAGAATCCGATGGCCCACTTTCGACCTGGGTATCTTTGATTTTCTGTCTAATACTTGTATAGAGACATAATTGGTACGATGTCATAACTGTGTTCTAGGATGTTTTCTCATCTTATCCAGAGAAAGATACTTTCCATGTTGACATGATTAGCCCTTTGGCGACGGGATTTTTTAGGGAAAAAAAGAGTTTCTCTTTTTCTGTATATGTGATCATAAATCAATCTACATTTGTATTCTACAAAGACATTTTTGTAAACATGCTTGTTTAGAAATTTTTCAAAGTATGATATAGTCAGTGTTTTATTCAGTGTGGAGATGGAGAGGGGAACATCTGCGAAAGATCGAATTGGCTCCCACACCCTAATTTAACTTTAATTGAAGATGATTTTGATAAAGGAGTTTTTGGAATTGTTTCTCCGAAAGAATGATTATATACTAAAGATTTAGATGATCATATTTTATTATTAAGAAAATCAGGTCAACTTAATAAATTAAGACAAAAATGGTTTCAGAAAAGAAATTATCCTAATTTATATGAAATAGCAATTTCTATGGAAATTAATTCAATAAGTGGATTATTTTTAATTTTTGCACTAATTACTTTTCTATCATTATTATTATTTATATGGTCAAAACAATTAATAATTAAAAATAACCTATTTAATTTACTACATTGAAAGGGATTCTTATTGAAAAAGAAAGCCAGCATAATAAAGCAATCATGTAAAACATGAAACTATACTAAAAACTCTATAATACTTGCGTATCCTATTGTACAATTTTGACCATGAAACTCTCTTTACCTTTGTTTGCTAGAAAGTTGATCTAATTCTATGATGTTATTTTATTTTTCATTATCAAAATAAGACTAAAAAATGTCAGGAAAATTTTTATGGGTGGCATATTAAATGTTGAATTAGTATGTATTTAATAATATATGATAAAATGAATCAATGATTGTGAATAGCTTTCATTCATTGCATTCAAGTTTTGTCAAATAATTTGGATATTTTTTCATTCAACATAGTTGGACACATTTCGTTTATAAAGTAGTTTTAAGCCATCGTCAATTTAATAGAGGTAATTGATAGTTTGTCCTTCTTCAACAGGCTGTCTCTGCACAGAAATCCATTCGATTAGAAAATATTGCAAAACAGCCCTTTTCAATTAATAATGATTGTGTGAAAGCACAGTAGGTGAAGTGCCTCCAGTTGATCTTCATGCAGTATTGGACAACCTTTTACATGTGCAAATAATCAACTCAAAAATGATCATAATCCATTATAATATATATTTTCGAGATAATTCTTTTTGTAATTCACATTAACTCTCTAGAATTTAACTATTCACCCATTAACAATTTATCTTCGTGTGCTTGTCATTCGAGAATATTTAATTCGTGACTCGATAGGAACTCTTGTTGCCGCTAAGGTAAAAAGTCAACGATGTATGACGAAAAAAGTCGCAATTTTTTCTTTCTTACAGAACCTACCGATGCTGGACACTAGAACAGAAGTTCTTAATCGAATGAGTGCTGCTCAGAATCAGTATCTATCTCAAGCTTATATGGGTGTCTAGGAGAAAGTAGATTCACGTCTGTCAGTCAAAAATTGATGATGGTTAATAAAGATAAACTTAATTGAGTACTTAAGAGAAAACCGGATAATAGACAGCTAACCGAGTACGATTATTCTTAAAATGGCATTGTACTTTATTTCACTCTTGCAGAGATAAGACTTACATGATTACAAATATCAGATAAATTTTTTATAAGTTCATAGAAAGTGTAGTAATAAATCTCAAGATAGTCATTAGTTTTCAAATTAAATTCATATTCTAAAACTACCATATATTCTTCTATGTTCTTCGATGAAAAAAAAGGAAAAAATGCAAGAAGAACATTATTTCATTGGTATTCATTGGAACTGGGACTTTAAATAACTTTTTTAACCTGAGAAGAACACATTGAAGAAACTCGATTTATTTGCCATATAACCTATGGGAGAATAACCAAGCTTACAAGATTGGTTAAAATTGGATATAACAATTGAACGTGAGAGTATACTCACATTCTCATTCAGCGAATATGTTTCTCTATTATCGTTTTTTTCGGATTGGGGTTCTTGATAAAGTCCAATGATGATGTATTTTTAGACCTTTATTTAAATCTCGTTGCAATAATCGAAAATATCAATTTTTGAAGTAGGGAGATATTTTTTCTCTTTGTGATGTAAATCAGTTTCAGATTTTTCAAAGATTGAACTTTAATGTCGATTTTTCATTCTTAAATTAAACACGACTGCTAATGTTTTTCGGTATTGGTAATATTCAACAATGACTTAAACAATAATTCTTCGATCAGTAGTGCACATCATATATGCAATATACAATTAAGTAATTATGTTTCAAGGAAGTTTCTATTATGCAACAATAGAATATGATCAACAGTATTTGGGTGTTTTATCGGTGTCACTTCAAATATGAACTAAGTAACAATTATAAATTTAATCGAAAAGTGTCTTTATTATAAAAAAGAACGTATTTTATCTGGAAAAACTTTCATATCGAGGATGAACGATTGAAAAGAATGAAATTTCGAGGAATTTTGAGTCGAGTTTGGAACTTTATTCGATGTTTTCAACAGACACTCGCTAGTTATAATCGATCAAATAATTTACTCTTCAATATAATCTAAGTTCTATTCAAATACGAATGTAAAACGTTCGTTAGAAGCGAACACTGTCTCAAAGCATACCGAATACTAAAAATTATCTATGTATGTACCATAATGCATAATTATTAAAGACAATATACTGCAATATATGATGTGTATTCAACAATATAAAAAAGCTATAGATGTATGCATCGCTATGACAGAACCAAATAGGATTTATCTTTGCACATTTCTGTAATACAATTTTTTTCTATACTTTTGTCCAAAAACGTTTTCAACTATCGTAAAACATGAAACTCGAAGAGAAAAATGTTTCGCTACTTTTAAGATCTTATCTTCCCATCAAAAAGAAAATAACAATACACTTGTGTTCGTAAAAAATTAAAAACGATGATTTCATTTATTCTATTGACACTTGGTTCGGATAATATAAATAGATACATCCTCCTTCATAAGCAAATCATGATTTTTTTGTATACTATTCTTATGTATATAAATAATGAATAGCAGAAAATATTAAAGAAAAAGAATAAAATTATCTTTTATCTTCTTTTTTGCTAAATGAGCAACACGAAATTTATTATAATGCTTCTTTCATTTTAATTCAAATTGTTTTTCTTGTGTCTAACATTAAGAAAAAAAAAGAAATTTCATTCGTCTAGTGTAGTTTAGCTTTGGTTTCTTGTACCCGTAGTCGAAAAACTTTAAATTCATTATAATATTGTTCGCGATGTTCTAAAAAAAGGAATGCTGATTTTTTTTTCCTAGCAACATGTAAATAAAAAAATGCAATTTCATGAAAAGATCTTCGTAATGGACTACTAATATGTAATTTAGGGTGTGAGTGTCGTTGTTTTAGTATCAATATACCGACCCACACCCATTTTTTGACCATAGGATATGATGGAGCATCAGGTCCCAATGCTTCTGTAAGTTCGTCGAAGATTGTTTTTAAATCTATTCCCAAAATAGCTCGAATTCTGATATAGTATCGATTAAATTCATCAGTCATGTTTAATAGATCGTTTTAAAGTTGAAATCAGATTCTATCACAATTTGAAGTCGAGTGCGGTACAAATGAGCTGACAGTGAACGACCGCTCAACCCTATATACTATCGAAATATAATATTCTAGAACAGGACGTCATAAAATGTGACAAGAGAGAGTGACCAATGGAAAATATGGAAAGCTCCAGAATATACCTGGACATTGGACAAGGATTAGTTAAATATTAGCATAGTCGTTAAATTATAGGCTTAGTCTAGCAGGATGTTAGAACTAAATCCAAGATAGAGCTGCTCTATAGATTATTAAAGACGAGACGTTATACTATATACTCCCATAATACAACATTCAATATTTACTGTTTTATAAAATTTTAAACATTGTGATTCGAACTTTTGGTACGTCCTAAGTATTTTACTGATACAGAAAGATCATACGGCGTTTTTTAATGATCAAATACCCAGGTTGAAAAGACAGACGTCAGATCCAACAAGATCTTATCAGATCTTAAGCGTCCAAGATTTTTCGTATGATCTTAACATAAAATTGCACAAGCACGTATGTCTTATGGAACTACAAGATTTCATTAGATTCTGATTGAAAGTTCCCAGCAAATATTTTGTAAGGTTCGAACATCAAGAAACACATCAGAGCCAACATAATGAT